TTATCTTTACGACAAAAACCTCCCAGTAGTCGCCTCCTAACTTCTTGGTTGATGTTCTCGAGGTCCGTGCAGTTCAGAGCCCCCAGCCGCCTCCAAGCTAGTGGCAGCTTCTGGGGCAGCGGCGGTGCCCAGCTGCCGCGAGGCCCTCGCTGCTGATGGCAGGCAGTCATGGAGGCAGCGTGCACAGCTGTCAGCTGTTGTGAGCAGTGGCATTGCCGTTCGCATCCTTTCGATGGTGATGAAAAACAAACGTGGCGCGTCTGTGTATATATATATATATATATATATACACCGCACTCACATCTATACCCCTGGGTGGGTGTATGTGCGGCCGTTTTTGCGCTGTCATGTGCGCGGCATGTGCCAGTCATGTGCCAGGCCTGTGCGGCCCTTCGTGGATGGACTTCCTACTGCGCACGTCGTGCCCGGGCATGTGCGGGGGCATTTGCGCTGTGCTTTGGTGTATCCATCATACGCACATGCACGCACAATCCGACGCACATGCGCGCACATGCCTGCACATGCGGGAGGTGTTCGAGAATCGCAGATCTGTCATCGGCACATGCACGCACATGCCTGCGCAACCTCTCTTCGGGAGGCCGCGCGGGCCCGCACATGCACGCACATGCGGTGAAGCGCGCGGGCGCACATGCGTGCACATCCCAATGCACATGCACGCTCATGCCCGAGGAGCTGTCTGAGACCCCTGTGCCTCCAACGCCTCCTGGCCTTCGCAGAGCTAACCTGGGGCGTGCCAGGGCTTCCTGAAAGAGTTTGCTGTGCGTTTAGACTCGCCCGCTGCTGGCGGGGGCGGTTCTTCGCCCGGTTCGTGAGCTGGCGGTGGCGTGCCCTCCTAGTGAAACACTCTCCCGCGCGCCTTCTCAGCTCGGCCGGAGAAGCAGGGGTGGGGGGGGGGAGGTGGAGGGGGGGGGAAGGAGGGGGGAGCGGAGGAGGCGGACGCCCCCGGCTCGGCCGGCCCGCCCGCCTGTTCGGCTCGGCCAGACGAGGAAGGAGGAGGAGGAGGAGGAGGAGGAGGAGGAGGAGGAGGTGAGAGTTGCGAGGATGTCTCAGGCGAGAGTGGCTTGACGGCCCGAGCTCAGGGAATCTCGGAATCGCTGGCCTGGCTCGGCCACTGGCGAGCTCGGCCTGTGCGAATACTGTGCGTACCTGTGCGGGGCATGTGCGGGACGTGCAAGAATGCCGGGGCCGGCGTTCGTCTCCGGGCGCCGGCGTGTTCGCGTCCGCGCGCACACCGCGCGCGGACGCAGCGAGAGATCTCCTGCCCCATGCTGGTCAGGCCACTGTCGCGTGAGAGATCCTCGCAAGTCTCGGTTCCGATATGCCCCGAGCTGAGGTGGTCAGCCATTGTCGCCTGAGACATCCTCGCAACCCTGATCTCAATGATGCCCTGCTCGATAGCGTCTCGGCCCCTTTCGCCTGAGACATCCTCAGAACTCTGGGTTCCAAGACGCCCTGAGCTGATCTGAGGTGGTTAGACCACTTTCGCTTTAGACATCCTCGCCCGAGATGCCCTGAGTTGAGGTGTTCAGGCCACTTTCGCCAAAGACATCCTCGCAACTCTGACCTCAATGATGCCCTGCTCCATAGTGTCTCGGCCTTTTTCGCCTGAGACCCTCGCAACTCTGGGTTCCGAGATGCCCTGAGCAGGTGGTCAGGCCACTCCTGCCTGAGACATCCTCGCAACTCTGGGTTCCGAGACGCCCTGGGCTGAGGTGGTCAGACCACTCGCCAGAGACATCCTCGCAATTCTGACCTCAGAGATCTCTTGCCCCATGGTGGTCAGGCCATTTTCGCCTGAGACATCCTCACAACTCAGACCTCGGAGGCGTCCTGCCCCATGGTAGTCTGATCACCTTGACCAGCGACATCCTCGCCACTCTGGTTTCCAAGATGCCCTGCCCCATGGTGTTCCGGCCACGCTTGCCTGAGACATCCTCGCATTTCTGGGTTGCGAAATGCCCCGAGCTCAGGTGGTCAGGCCACTATCGCCTGCGACATCTCTGCGGCCTGTGCGGGCATGTGCGTCTATGCTTTCAGAGTTTTGCTTGACCGTGCATTCGACTGTGCGTCGGACGGTGTGGCATATGAGCGCATGTGCGGCAATGCTGTTGAGGCTTTTGTATATTTGCATGGGCATGTGCATGCGACTGTGCGGCATGTGCCTGCATGTGCGGCCCCTTCCGGACCACAATTTCAAAGTGAGCACTATAGAAGTGAGCGCTATAGAAGTGAGTCCAGTGTATATATATATATATGTGTGTATGTATGTATGTGTGTGTATGTAATGTAATGTAATGTAATGTAATGTAATGTAATGTAATGTATGTATGTATGTATGTATGTATGTATGTATGTATGTATGTATGTATGTATGCATGCATGCATGTATGTATGTATGTATGTATGTATGTATGTATGTATGTATGTATGTATGTATGTATGTATGTATGTATGTATGTATGTATGTATGTATTATGTATGTATTATGTATGTATGTATGTATGTATGTATGTATGTATGTATGTGTATGGTTGTATATCTATATATATATATATATATATATATATATATATATATCCGTAAGGGCTTCGCCCCATGCCGCCGGTCCCCTGTCTTGGATAATGGGAGATGCAAAAGCTAAATCATGAGGTCTGGGCACCGCCGTGAAGCAGTGTCGGGACCTCTTTGTTTTTCGACCCTGACCCTACGGATCTGCGTCATGGGCGCCACCGAATTTCAGAAATGTGGTAAATCCGTTTTGTTTTCGGAACCTGACCCTACGGATCTGCATCAGGGGTGCCACCGAATTTTAGAAATGTAGCAAATCCCATGCGTTGTTGGACCCTGACCCTGCGGATATGCGTCACGGGTGCCACCAAATTTCAGAAATGTGGCAAATCTTTTATGTTTTTCGACCCTGACCCTACGGATCTGCGTCACGGTTTTTGGACCCTGACCCTACGGATCTGCATGAGGGGTGCCGCCGAATTTTAGAAATGTAGCAAATCCCACTGGTTTTTGGACCCTGACCCTGCCGATCTGCGTGAGGGGTGCCACCAAATTTCAGAAATGTGGTACATCCTATATGTTTTTGGACCCTGACCCTGCCGATCTGCGTGAGGGATGCGTCGAATTTTCAGAACGTGGCAAATCCCAATTGTTTTTGGACCCTGACCCCGCCGATTTGCATGAGGGGTGCCACCGAATGTTAGAAATGTGGCAAATCTCTTGTGTTTTTGGACCCTGACCCTGCCGATCTGCGTGAGGGGAGCCACCGAGTTTTAGACATGGGGCACATCCCAAGTGTTTCTGGACCCTGACCCCGCCGACCTGCGTGAGGGGTGCCACCGACTTTCAGAAATGTGGCAAATCCCAAGTGTTCTTGGACCCTGACCATACGGATCTGCGTGAGGGGTGCCGCCGAATTTTAGAAATGTGGCAAATCCCATGTGTTGTTGGACCCTGGCCCCGCCGATCTGCGTGAGGGGTGTCAATTTGTATTCACCCCAGCATTTCAGACAAACGCTCAGGGCGTGGTAAAAATGCCCGTGTTGGGACTCCCCCGCTCGCGCGGTCCATCAACAAGGAACTGTAAGCAGCAAGAAGTCAACAAGGAACAGTAAGCAGCAAGGAACAAAACTGTAACAGTGGAAACTGGAAGCTGCAACTGGTACAGTAAACTGCGAACCTTAGGCCTACAGCCTGGTGGCCCCACAAGGGGGCCGGCGGATACACACACACACACATGCGTGTGTGTGTGTGTGTGTGTGTGTTTGTGTGTGTGTGTGTTTGTGTTTGTGTGTGTGTGTGTCTGTGTGTGCGTGTGCGTGCGTGCGTGTGTGTGTGTGGTTCACGCTTTATCTCCTGCAGCCCATCCAGACATGATCCCTGGACGGATGGCCTCTGTCGGAGCAGTTCCCAGGCAGCGTGTCTGTGAGGATGCGATGTGGTTCTTCGAACGCCTTGTGGGGGTGCCTGGCCCCCGAAGTCTGTGGCCTTTCGTGTCCCCTGCCGTGGCCACCCACAAGAGCAGCCCGAGCAGACCCAGGAGTCAATCATACATGTATTCGTCGTCTTTCGAATTAGGAGCCTCTTCGAAATTCATGTGGTCCATCTTGGGGGCAGGGGTATGTATGGTTTGCAGGGTCTTCGCAGGGGGACCTTTGAGGGTTATTGCAGGGGGTGCGGCGAGGCTAAGGAGAGAGGGGAGGGAGAGGGGTCAGTATCGGCTGGGAAGGGCGAATTCCCGAAGCCACCTGCGCTCGGAGGGCTAGTGGAATCAGTGACGCCCAGAGTGCTAGGGGGATTAGCGATAGACGACCGCCTGTGACACACCCGAGCACCGCGCCGGTGTAGCATCGAAGCGCCCTCAGGCCCTCCAGAAAGGCTCGGCAAGGCCACGCTGGGGCAGTCTGCGAAGCAGCGTCACGATGCTTGCCGCGGGGCGTGCCCACCGTGAAGCGCTGTTGCCGCGCCTGCTCTGGGAGGAGGAGGAGGAGGAGGAGGAGGAGGAGGAGGAGGAGGAGGAGGAGGAGGAGAGGAGGAGGAGGAAGGAGGAGGAGGAGGAGGGAGGAGGAGAGAAGGGGAGGAGGAGGAGGAGGAAGAGGCAAGGGAGGAGGAGGAGATGGTGAAGGAGAGGGAGGAGGAGGAGGAGAGAGGAGATGGAGGAGAGGATGTGGACGAGGAGCCAGGAGGAGGATGGAGGAGGGAGCAGGAGGAGCAAGGAAGCAGAAGGAGAGCAGAAGGAGAGCAAGAAGGAGGAGGAAAGTAGGAGGAGGGGGGAGGAGGAAGGGGAGGAGGAGGAGAGGAGGAGGATAAGGAGGAGGAAGGAGGAGCAGGAAGGAGGAGAGGAGGAGGAGGAAGGAGGAGGAGGAGAAGGAGGAGGACCAATGCGCAGCTCTGCACGACGCGGGCGCCGTGCCGGCGGGCGGTGACGCGGACTAGAACTTCTGGCCCCGTACCCCCGACGCGGCCCCAAGGAGTTGGTGCAGGGCATCATCGCCGAGGGGGTGCCCGTGTCCGTCGAGCTGGCCCCGCTGGCGGCCGCCTCCGAGATCGGGTCCTTGCGCAACTTCGCCGGTCGGGCGGGAGGGCCGAGAGGATCGGGGCCTCCCAGATGAGGTCCGAGTAGGTGGGGTCCGAAGATCGCGCCGCATCGGTGCTGCATCGGCGATGCGGCTCAGTGTGTAGCCCGAGTTTCTCCACGCCAGCGTCGCCGATGCATCGCCGATGCATCACCGACGTCGCTGATGCGCCGCTGATGCATCGACGATGCATTGCCGATGCATTGGCGATGCGGCACGATCCTCCGATCCCATCTACTCGGACCCCATCTAGGAGGCCTCTGGATGAGTTGCCCATAGGTTCGAGGGAGCGTAGAGGGAGGTTCAGATCCCAGGTGGGGGACAGGAAGCGAGCCCGGCTGGAGGCTGGTGTTTCTGTCCCCCGGGGGCCATCCAGGGCGATTGTCTTCCGACCCCACCCCCGAGTGTGCGTACAGTCGGCCCGGACTACGTAGCAGGTCGACCCTGCCAGCTCAAGGGTACCCTTGTGTCCTGTGCCTCGCGACACGTGCCTTCTCACACTCCTGTCCTCCCGCGTGTCCTGTCCAATAAAGGCAGAGTGTGCCCCATCTTTGCTCCCCGCCCCGACAAGGAGTCGGCAGCAGGCCCGCCATCGGCTGGCAGTTCTGAGGGCAAGGGGCCGAGGAGCAGCCAGCCTGGCCTCCCTCAGGCTTCACAAGGTACACTCAGGAGGGGAAAAAGACACACAGACACAATTCATCGCCCAGTCCTCAGAACATATGGGAAAGTATAGGAAGTGAGGGGGAAGACGAAAACCCCAAAAGCCGAGGAGCCGCCAGCCAGACCTCCCTCAGACTTTGCAAGTTGCACGAAGTCCTGCGCGCATCCAGAAAAGAATATACCCGCACGCCGTGAGCAGGTCTACGATGCTCCACAATGTAGCCGATATACGTGCACACATGGCGGTGTCGTGCCCCCCCCCCAGGGCTCATCTCGTCTCCTCCGATCCGACTCGCTTAGATTCGATGGCTTCCGATTCCGATCCGAAATTCGACCTCGGATTCCGATTTGGACTCCGATTTTCAATGGAGGCCTACTAGCCCGTCGATTTCCGCCGATTCGACTTCTCGCGATTGAGCTGCCGACTTCTGCCAATGCGATTCGTCTCGACTGCCGATCTGGCTTGGCGCTTCGATTATGAGGTCTCCTGCCCCCCTGGCCCTGATGGCGGCCCGAGTCGCCCGCAGGCGTGGGGGAGGACACACAGACACACGTAACCATCGATTCCCAGGAGAACGTGGGAACATATTGGAGCTGGAGGGGAAGACGAACATCCCAAACATACGTAAAAAGGATCGGGATCCCTGGGATTTGAAACACGTAATCACCGATTCCCAGGAAAACGTGGGAACATTGGAGCTGGAGGGGAAGACGAACAGCCCAAACAGACGTGAAATAGATCGGGGTCCTCCCCGGGAGTTGTGTGTCTATGTGTTGGCTTGTGCCTGGGCCCCTCCAGAGAGCCCGCTGCTCCGTCGACGGGCGCCTCCTCCTCGCTGCTCGAGGCCGCCCGCTCCGGGAGCCCGCGGCCGCAGCTCGCGGGGCGGGCGAGCGTGTCCCCACTCCCCTCGGGGAGGCGCCCCTTAAGCCCTTTCCGGTCCTCCTCCTCCTTCTCGCTTCTCCTCCTCCTCCTCCTCCTCCTCCTCGCTTCTCCTCCTCTCTCCTTCTCCT